CAAAGAATGAACTAAATACAAAACAGAATAAGTCATAAATACTGCATGTCAGAAAGTCTGAGTCACTAAATTTTTCGTAGCCTCAAATAAATTTGGCTAAAAAATCTATTAAATAAATCAACTAGCACGTGAGCAAAAAGCAAAAATTAAAACGATTATTATGAATTTATAAATAGATAAGTACATGTATGCATGGAGAGAGATATACATGTACATATGGTAGAGAGTGGATACAATATTTACCTTGCAAATATTCTAGATAGTTTATCCAGTTTGATCACATTATTAGGTAGACATGTTAACTCATTGTACTGGACCTATAATAACAATAACACACAACATGTAAACATAATTATCAGTCTTTATACAAAAATAAACAACAAACTAAACTATAAACAAATCTACAACATTCAAGGGAGTTGTCTCAAAGCATCCAGTATACCATGCTATTACGATTTAATTCATACATACATGTACACTAAACATGTATTATAATGATATTAAAAATCTTATATTTTCATTCTCACCTCAAGCGCTGACAATGAATTTAAGTTTTCAATATCTTCAGATATCTCTTTGATTTCGTTAGATGATAGATCCATGCAGTCTAGTCAGTTCCACCTGGTCCCACCATCTCTCATCAACATCAAATGAAGCAGTACTACCATCAGGAGGATCAATATTGAGTCTCCACAGTTTAAGAGGAATAACACTAATGCCCCTGTAATTATACACATTCACCCCCTAACTTTCATACATCCACATGTTCATTAATGCGTCATAAAAATGAAAATTAAAAAATCATTTAGGTCATTTTTGGTGAATTAAAAAAACATGTTACAAGTCTCACACAGCCTCCTACCTGTTTGACAGGTTCAGTGAACCGATTTTACAAGCTGGTTTCAATAAGGATTCTGGTACAGTCCCCTCCTTACCTACCCCATCACTTTGACTAGGAGAATTGAAGAAGTTGGGATTTGGTTTGAGTCTAGTAGAACCAGCAGGAGATTTTCTACTGGCACCACCACTGGAACTCATTTTATTAATTTTGGATAAATGGGTGTGGTCTTATGTTCATAGTTTGGGTGGGGCTGGTATTTTGCAAGAATGGCATCTAAAAGTGAGGGACACTATTCTCTTCTCTTTGTATCTCTTTCATTCATTCTTTGTCTCTCTTACTCTCTCACTTACTTTACTCCTCTGTATCCTGTCCTTATTCTAACTCATCACTATATTACTGTTACTCTGTTACTGATACCTCTTGTTCTCTATAGACTATCAACCAGTGGAGAGAGAGGGACACTCCACAGTAAAGGTAGGAGACTACCTATATATGTGGGGTGGGGACGGGTATAGAGTAGACTATGATGTGATGGAGGTGTATCACTTACCAACTGGTGCTTGGGACC